TACAACTGTTGTAACTGAACAACTTCATAAATGTACCATGTTTTCTTGCCTCTGGCTATTACACATAACAATCCTCCCTGCATGAAATTCCTCTTGTTCTCCCTCCAGGTGTTTCTAGAAATTCCTACTTGTCCTTTAACATCAACTCAGAAGTAGCCTTCTGTCTTCCCTGTTCTTCCTCATTTACAAAAGTAATTGGTACTAGTGTTCCTTGAGGACAGTGGGACAGTGACTATTTTAATAATTTTTGTATCTCACATAGAGAATCAAATATCTGTTGAATAAATGAATGTCTGCTAACATTCACAGCTAATATACACAAAATTTAATTCTTCCCTCCATCTATAGTTTGCTTATCCTCTAAATAGTACATTTGCAGGACTTATAGGTGACAGCTGCTTTGGGACAGAGTTTCTAAAAAATTTTTAAATAGCTAAGTTTAATGTTGGTTTTTTTTTTTTGGTGGGAATGCAAACTAGTTCAACTTTTATGGAAAACAATGTTGGTATTTCATGCTTCCTAAGTAATAAGGAAGTATAATAGAAGAAAGGTAGGGTTATATAATATCAAAAAATACATGGGCAGGCTGTTTATGACAGAGGCCAAATAAAGTACAATTTACCATCTGATGATATCAGCCGACATTTACTATCGCTACCCCACTGTCTCACTATCACTCCTCAGGACACATGCCCAGATGCACACAAAAAGCTAACAGCAAGGCACTTTGAGAAGTTTAATCATAACCCATCAATAGAATAGCCTATTGCATAGTCAATGCCAGAATGAATATATATTACTAGGGTTGCTAATCACTAATTAAAATCTCAAGATCAGGTTTCTGGGCACATCTTGCTACATCTGTGCAGTAGGCAGATCCCAGATGGTATGCAAACCAAGTTTAGAATTTGCTTCTTCATAATAGGCTGTTTCTGCAATGTCACAAAGGTTGTGGGTGACAGAACTGTGCAATACCAGCAAGAACACTCTGCATACAGTCTCCTCAGGCACGGTCCTGTTTCCTTACCTTGCGGATCTGAGAAAGGTTTCTAGTCAAATTCTGGGTTCCAGAAATAAGGCTATTTGAGGTTATAAAATGTCTGAAGGTGCCCAGCTTTAGTCCTTCTTAATAGAGAAGGAGTAAAGTCACAAAATTCAACAACTTCCCTTTCCCCCGGAACTTTCAGGAGTGATGGCAATGTTCTATATCTTGACTGGCATGTAGGTTACATGGGTATATACATTTGTCAAAACTTATAAAATTGTTTTAAGATTCATCTATTTCATTGTATATATCTAGAAAAAAAGGACTATGCAAATAGTGAACTCTAGTTACTAGGTTTATCTTCTGTAGTAGTATGGACTAGAAATTTTGGAACTACTTTCTGTGAATTCTAGGCTTGAGCAAGTGGGTAAATCTAACCAGGATAATATGAGCTAAGATTTTCACTGTTGGGGAAGGTAGTTACAAGTATGGAAAGGATGAAATTGACATCACCAAAGGGGACAAAGTACATCATATGCCTCTTGACATGAGGATACAATATCACTTTAGTATTTCTGCCAAAAATTCATTATCTGAATGTAATCATAAGCAAACATTAGACAAATCCAAATTGAAGAAAATTCTGCAAAAATAACTGGCAAAATGTCAAAATATGGAGGTTAAGAATGACAAAGAAGGCCAGGTCCGGTGGCTCAAGTCTGTAATCCCAGCCCGTGGCTTCAAGAACAGCCTAGGCAACTTGGTGAGACCTCATCGCTGCAATCAATCAATCAAACAAATAAATAAATAAAATTAGCCAGGCATGGTAGCGCACGCCTGTAGTTCCGGCTACTTGGAAGGCTGAGATGGAAGGATCGCCTGAGTCCAGTAGGTCAATGCTTGGGTGGCCATGAGTGTGCCATTGCACTCCAGCCAGAGTGACAGAGTGAGACTCCAACTCAAAAAAAAGACAAAGGCTAAGAAACTTTTACAGACTGAAGAACGTCAAAGAGACATGACAACTAAATGATCCTGAATTAGATCCTGGTCTGGAAGAAAAAAACCTATAAAGAAAAGTAACCTGTACAAACAACAACATTTAAAATATAGACTGTGGATTAGATAATAGTATTGTACAAACATTAAACTGTATAAATTTGATAAGCGTATTGGATTTAAGTAAGAGACTGCCCTGTTCTTAAGACATTTACACTAAAGTTGTAAAGAATCACAATGTCTTCAACTTACTCTAAAAATTTAGAGTGGGATGGGGAGGAGGGCACATACACATGGAGCAAAATGTTAACAGTTGGTGAATCTAGGTAAAGTATACACAGGAGTTCCTGGTAATAATAATGTTGTATCTTTTCTATAAATTTCAAATTGCATAAAAATAGAAAGTTACCCAAAAAATAGACCACTGCCAAAACATATTTAGATGAAAGGTTAATAATAAGAAATTAACTCAATGCATTATGAGAAATTCTTTCAAAGGTATTAGTTTCAAAATTATACTTTTCCCTCTAGTAATAGCTCCCACAATACTCTAGTTGGCTCTCAATTCCTTTATAGAACTCAAAAGCAACTCATATAAACTTAAAGTTTTTTTTTGAAATTTCAGTGCCAGATCCCATCATTCCTGAAAGTTCTGCAAGACAATAACCAGAAACTGAAATGAAAATGACTCCTCCCCTGCCCAGATTCTTCAATATTTTTTCTGTAAGACAGAATAATTCGCCTTGCTATATACCAAGCTAAGATCAAATAGGGTAAGAAATGATTTGTGGGTAAATGATTAGATATGTTTATTCTTAGTAAACAAGATAATGAGTAAGAGTATTATTACTCAGCAGAGCCTATTCTACCTCCACAGTCTTTCTGTCTCTATTTGTGGTTAAATCAAGACTAAGCATGACCTTGGTCCTAAAAAAAAAAAAAAAACTGGAAGAAAAAATTACTTACGAATGTCAAAAAAGAATTTTTTAGAAGTCATTTTTAGCCCCCAAAGAATCTTTCTGAAACAATAACTATAATATGACTCAGTACAAAAAATATGCTATGAATGCATTAAGAAAAATTCACATGCACAGAGATGAAAATAAAATTGGATTTGTCATTGCAAAGTATTAATGTTGGGTTTGCAGATAATAGAGAATGACAATCTCCTCAGCAAATAAAGAAAGTAGCCAAGTAAGTAAATGCTGTGTTTCTACTGTAAGGAAATACATACACCAATGAAGCAACCTTTTCAGCACAAAAGAAATTTAATACCCAGACCACATGAAAAGTGATCGCTATGGGAATAGCACAGCTGTTAAAATCCAAGTCAGTTTGTATTAAATTGTCCAGCTTGTTTATGTAAAGCAGGATTCTCAGAATGACCACCAAGAAGAAATAATTTTGCTAACAAAAAAGTGATACCTATATTTAATTTAATGCTTACAATAAGTGTGAAAGAAAAATGGCAAGCTATTCTCTTTTAAAGAATATAAGGAACCCCAGTTAGCTGGTATGCTTATGATTCTTTTATAAACAGTATCTCAAGGACTAATTTAATTAGAAATAGAACAAGAAAGAACGAGTGGCTGCATTTCACTTAGAGAACCCAATTATCTTTATTTCACTGACTAGCCAGACCTACATAAAGTCATAGAAAAATTTCTGGCACCTGTGCCAAATGATTTCAATGTGAAAATTAATACTGCCAAGTTATTTTGAGACCAATTAGCTAAGCCACTCAAAGAAAAAGGGTGCACTCCACTAAAGAGCATATAATCCTAAAACTCATTTCTGAAGACAAGTGCACATAGACATCCTTGAGGTCCTGACGTGAGCAGACATAAGATATCTTAAATAAATTACAGAAAGAATGGGTTCATGGGTAACTACTGACAAATGGTAAGCTTTAAATCTCAACATAGGCACTTGGAATGCATAATGATAAAACAGGGTCTTAGTTTACTTTTGAAGCAAAAAATAAAATATTCTAAATTTTTAGTACCTAAATGTAAATGTATCAACATTGTTTGCCAAATCTACATTCAAATTTTAGAGAAATTAGTCAGTATTGTACTTCCCATATCTTGTGGGAAAGCATAAATAAAGTTTTCAAAGGAAGCCTGTCAACTCAGAATAGAGAGAACTTCCCTAGAATTCAATTCCTTCCACAGTGCCAGATGCAGGCTATACATAAGTGCCAAATTATAACTAAGAGGCCACAGTAGGGGATTAGTGACCCCCAAACTATTTTCACAGCATTTCAGCACGAAAATCTTTACTTCTCAAGAATCATGAGACTTAACAGCCAAGGACAAATCACTAGGCATTGGAAGGCTGAAAGGAATACCCAAAAGGAAATCGGCTATCACATACAGTGTCCATGTGAAAATAACTCAGACGGCATCTCAAAGCCTATTAAAAACTGAGATGCCATCATTAGAGTTTTGAGAAACATCAGCCGTTTCCCATTACAATGGACAACATACCAGCTCTATTTTTAGAACCTCTGGAAAGATCAAAGCTGAAGGGGCCCTTTGATTGGCTCCCCATGCAGGCCCCTAATCTCTGTTTACTTTTTCTTTGTCATTATGTGGATCTCCAAAAATCACACAGCCAGGACTGCCTGGAATGCTCCACCCTCAGAGTAACACTTTAAAAACTGCTCTTTGAGGGTCCATTCGAGAAAGGAACCTTCTGGGGAGAAACAAAAACCAGGAACGCTCAAATTCAAGCCAAAATTACTATGATAATAGAGCTAAAATATTCTAACTCAGTTTTCTCTCTCTCTCTCACTCTCTCTCTCCCCCCCCCCCCATAAATTAAATGTTCTCAGGCTGGTTTCTCTGTGATACAGACAACCAAAACAAGACAGTTTTTTTTTCTGGTTGTTGAAACCCCACCCTCCCCCCCACAAAAAGCCCTTAGTTGGTTTCAGTGGCTCTGGCTGGTAAGGCTGAGGTCAAATGCTGATAGGCTCACTTTAAAAAACCAGTCCCTCAAATGCAAAATGACTTACTCTGGAAGAACAAGCTGTACATTTGTCAAATGCCAGGCTGACAGGAAGGACATTATCAAACCGTGACAGAAATCCCCGGATCTAAAAACAAACAAAACAAATTCGTTCACATCAAGCATGGAATGACCACATCTATGAAATGCATGTCTAGTTTCTGACAAGAAGTGGGAAATGATTAATATGGTGCTCTTGAAAGAGATTACCAACAAAAACAAAGCTCAACCGAGTAATTCCCTTGTACTATAATTGGTTTGGAGAAGAACTATATTGTCTTTTATTCCTTTAGGAACCAGGGTCTACAAGCTTTTCTGATATTTGAGAACTAAAAACAAGCTGGGTATGGTGGCTCACATCTGTAATTCCAGCACTTTGGGAGGCAGAGGTGAGAGGATTGCCTGAGTCCAGCAGTTCGAGACCAGCACGGGCAACTTGGCAAGACCTCATTTCTACAATAAACCAAAAAAATTAGCCAGGCGTGATGGTGCGTGCCTGTAGTTCCAGCTATTTGGAAAGCTGAGGTAGAAGGATGACCTGAATCTAGCAGGTTGAGGCTGTGGCAGCCATGAGTGTGCCACTGCACTACAGCCTGGGCAACAAGCTCCTACTCAAAAAAACCAAAAACCAAAAACAAACAAATTAACTCCATAATACAAAAAGCAAGCTGTAATATCTAAACTATTATTTTAAACAAGTGTCTTCAAAAATATAATAAGTCAAACTATTATACTCTGATTAAACTATTGTATGTGTGTCCTAGCAAACATGAAATAAATGTGCATTTCTATGATAAGATTTTGGGTGGGGTAGCTTGGGGACTGTGGAGGGCAAAATTATTTGCTTGATTTGGAACAGATAAAATGTAAAACATCATCAGATTTACAGAGAAAGAGCACCACCTTGAGCATAAACTTCTCAACTACAATTAATTTACATTTACAGAGTATCAGCTATAAACAGGTTTTGCAAACTATGATTCAAGCAATTTACACAGAACATTATATCTCTAGAACCATACTTACACCCAAAGGGGAGTTTTAATCTGTCACATATGTCACAAAATATTACTAAAAATATAAATGGCAAAATCCCTAAAATCTCTACAAAACTCAATATTTATAATAAACTTGACCACACACATCTTCTCAGGAGTTAATTTATTTGACCTTCCCAACTACCCCATTTTATGTTGGCAAAACTCAGGCTCAGAAAAGTGAAGCAACTTGGCTCAGGTAAACAATAAGTGACAGACGTAAGATTGAAAAGTGAACCTCCTCACTCCATGACTGGTCCAGGTCTGGGCTTCCAGGTGACTAGTGGGCTCCCTCTCTCCTTCCTTTCCTTCAGAGCAGTTTTTCTCTTTAATATTACGTCTACCCCAAAATTTAACAGCCTCACTTGAATAGAACAAAAGAACCAACCCACCCACCCCTTGGCCATCCTATCAATACTATTCCTCCCAACAAAAAAACAATAACAAAGTCAAAATCTCACAAACTCTGTGAAAAGGCTTCCTTCTGAATTTGGGTAACTCCATCTTTATGCCCACACTGCCACAGTGTAATTGCATGTGTATAATTATCCCTAGAAAATCTAACCTTGAAGGAAATGCCTATACCAATTTTTCAAATGTCCCTACCAATATGCTATGTGATGCTAATGCAATCCAAGATAAAAAATGTTTGTTAGAAATGATAAATTAGGTAAGTGGGATAAGTTACCCAGTTGCGGGTAATTTATTGTGATCCTCTGAAAATGTGACAAGGAATGTGGTGATCATCTCATGAGGCATAATCAGGGTCATAAGTTTGCTATTTGGGACACCAAAATGAGACAACAAAATGGCAGAAAAGACTTTAAGGGCAAGTGACAGATGGGAGTGGTGAAATCCTCCTGTGTTCTGGAAGCTATAGGCTTGAAAGAATGTTCATAGTTAGCCTCTATACCCCAATTACCTTTAGATTAAATTTTTTCAAAAAATAACTTTATCATATTTTCCATTAAAATGTTCTTTAACACAACCTACATGTCATGTCTCTATATATGTTTCATGGAAAGGTGTCTCCATGCTGTTTTCTCCCATATAGTTTCCATCACGCTTTCTTTATGTTGCACAAAGAATACTAGCAATCTTCTCTGCTAAGCTGTCTATAATTGGAGGTAGGGAGACAAAGCTGAGGGGGCAGTGACAACCGAGACTCAGTCAGGATCAGAAAGGAAGAGAATAAAAGGAGACGAAGGAAGGAGAAAACAAACACCACCAAAAACACAGGTGTCAAAGAACAGAAAAAAAAGGAGATGCAGTGGACGGGACTGGCTCAGCAAAGGCCCACGATGCATTGTTCAGCAGCCCCTGATGGCTCTTTAGGAGGAAACTGTGATTCATTTTTCCAGGAAATGAAGTAGAATAATATCTGTAACGACTTTAAAATTCACCAAGTTGATATCAGAAGGTCCACAACTTAACCAAAGTAATTCCAGTTTTAGATTATTTAAAAGAAGAAATAAGCTGGGCACAGTAGCTCACACCTGTAATCCCAGAACTTTGGGAGGCCGAGGCAGGAGGATTGCTTTGGTGCAGGAACTTGCGCCCATCTAGGCAACACAGTGAGACCCCATCTCTACAAAAAATTTAAAAAATTAAGCCGGGCTCGGTGGCTCAGCCTGTAATCCCGCCCTTTGGGAGGCTGAGGTGAGTGGATTGCCTGAGCCCGCGGGTTCGAGACTCGCCTGGGCAACTTGGCGAGACCTCATCTCTACAATAAATAAAAAAATCAGCCGGGCATGGTCACGCATGCCTGTAATTACGGCTACTTGGAAGGCTGAGGCGAAGGATCACCGGAGCCCAGTGGGTCGAGGCTGCAGTGGCCAGGAGCGGCCACTGCACTCGAGTCTGGGCGACGGAGTGAAACTCCAACTCAAAAAATATATATATATATATTAGCCAGGTGCGGTGGCACACACCTGAGTCTCAGCTACTTGGTGAATTTTAAAGTCCTTACAGATATTATTCTACTTCATTTCCTGGAGAAATGAATCACAGTTTCCTCCTAAAGAGCAGTCAGGGGCTGCTGAACAACGCATCATGGGCCTTTGCTGAGCCAGTCCCGTCCACCGCATCTCCTTTTTTTTCTGTACCTTGCCACCTGTGTTTTTGGTGGTGTTTGTTTTCTCCTTCCTTCGTCTCCTTTTTTTCTCTTCCTTTCGGATTCCTTTCTGATTGCCTGAGCCCTGATGGTCGAGGCTGCAGTGAACCATGATTACGCCAACTGCACACACCAGCACAGAGTGAGACCTACCTCAAAAAAAAGAAAAAAAAGAGAGGAAATCCTTCTCAAGCTGACTGCAAGAGACTCCTAAGTCAATTAATTTTCCTAATACACAACTCTGAGGCCTGTCACTTTTTTTTTTTTTTGAGTTGACGTCTTACTCGTCGCCCAGGCTGGAGTGCAGTGGCACACTCATGACCACCCAGCATCGATCTGTTGGGCTCCAGCAATCCTTCCGCCTCAGCCTTACAAGTAGTCAGAACTGCAGGTGCGTGCTACCAAGTCCAGCTAATTTTCTTTTTTTAATTGTAGACACGAGGTCTCACCAAGTTGCTCGGGCTGGTCTCAAACCCATGGGCTCAGGCAATTCAATTGCCTTGGCCTCCCAAAGTGCTGGGATTACAGGCTGAGCCACCGAGCCCGGCCACCTGTCACTTTTTATCTGCTCCTCAGAGCTGACCAAATGAAACGGAAAATTCCTTGAGCTCAAAGGTCCCCCAGATTGGGCCCAACTCACCTGCCTAATTATATCTTGGATTGAATCTTTTCACAGACTCTGTAAACTGACAAGCAGAACTATACTTCCTTCCCAAAGATAATCTTGATTTCTGATCTTGCCTCATGCTGAATTCTATGAGTCAGAACACTTCCTTTTGGTAATAGCTACATATCTCAGTGCTCATCTTCCTTAAAAGTCACTTAGCTCAAATACACTTCTTTCACAAATCTTCAATCTACTACTGCCCAGCCTAGAAATAATAACTCCATCCTCTGAAATCCTTTTGGTCTTCATGCCCCAAATATCTTATGTAACAGTTTTTTTGTTTTTGAAGTAGTAACAGGTTTAAGATATAATTTACATACCATAAAATTCACCTTTTAAAATTGTACAATTCAGTAGTTTTTTTGGTATATTCACAGAGTTTTGCAACCAACACTGCTATCTAATTTCAGAACATTTTCACCATCCCAAAAAGAAACCAAGAACCCAAAAGTCATTAGTTCTCATTCTCCCCTTTTCTAAGACCTTGCCAACCACTTAGCTACTTTCTATTTCTATTGATTTGCCTATTCTGCATATTTCCTATAAATGAAATCATACGCAATGGCTTCTTTCACTTAGCACAATGTTTTCATCCATATTATATCAGTACTTCATTGCTCTTTATTGCCAAATAATATTCAGCTGTATAGATATACCACGTTTACTTAGCCATTCATCAGCAAATGGATATTTCTCTTGGGTGAATACCTAGAAGTGGAATTATTTGGTCATATAATAACTTTATGTTTACTATTTTGAGGAACTGCCCAACTGTTTTTCAAAGTGACCATACTATATTAAATTCCCACTAGCCTATGATCTCTAGCCACTGCCTGGGCAACCAAGCGAGACTCCATCTCAAAAACAAAACAAACAAGTTCCCACTAGCAGTATATAAGAGTACCAATCTCTCCACCTCCTTGTCAACACGTTATTGTCTCTTTCTGAGTATAGCCATCCTAGTGAGTAAGAAATGGTATCTAACTATGGTTTTGAGATGCATTTCTAATGACTGCTAATGTCAAGCATCTTTTCATATACTTCTTGATCATTTGGATATTTTCTTTGGAGAAATGTTTATTCAAATCCTTTGCCAAGTTTTAAATTGGGTTGCCTTTTTATTCTTGACTTATAAGTTCTTTATATATAACGGATTCAAGTTTCTTAGTAGATATATGATTTGCAAATATATTCTCCCATTCTACATTTTGTCTTTTCACTTTCTTGAAGAACAAAAGTTTTTTTTGTAGTTTTTATTTTGGGGAAGTCCT